TTACATATATAGATATAGGAAGATAGGAAGACGAGGAGGCGTACACAAGAAGACTAGGTGGAGAGAGATTCGGGCTATGTAGTTGTGTGCGGTTTCGTGCGGTTCGTTGTTAAATCGCTATTGGCCGTGGGGGAATGACATTGAAAGTTGTTACTTGGGTCCAATGTGGAATTGTATTTGTAACTGTTGGAAACTGAAAGAACCGCATGGAATATAACTGTGGAGAGTGCGGGCCCTAGATAATGCCAAAAGCCAACAGCCCTATGTTACATCGCCAACATATACTTGGACTAATTTGCCCCCAAACTGGCCGTTTTTAGGAAAAGTATTCAGAAAAAGGTAAAGTTTGAATTCTTCCGAGGCATGTTATATTTATATTGTTTATTTCAAGAATTTTGGAGCAAGTAATATTAAAATCTATACAATAAATCTTTGTACCAAAAAAATAAATAAATTCTATACAATTAATCTCACGAGAAATTAAAAAAGGGGAAATAAATCCTAAATAAATTTTACTATATTTTAAAAAAGATTATAGTTTGAATTCCTTTTTGTACCGCTTCTTGCTATATTTTATTTTATATAGCCTTTTCCGATTTCATGACATAATAAAATGAAATTTGATATAAATTGGGTGAGTTAACTAATGATATTGTGGGAAATGAAATTGAATAACTTTTCCCGTGGTTACTTTGTCGATAAATATTAGATGACTAGCACAAGTATTTTAATATGCATTGAAGTATGTGAGAGTTACGTTTAATTTGTGACGTTGCATCCGCTATTTAAATAAGAAAAATAATGTGTACGTAACACTCACATGGAGTGGGTTCACTTGATTTTTTAATTTTAATGTGTCTCACTCAATGTTAGTGTTATGTACACCTTTATGTACAACATTATGTATATATAGCATTACTCTGTTTTTTTTTTTTGTACAATATAGCATTACTCTTTAAATAATATACTATGAAACATCTCTTTTAACTTCAAAACAATATTAATTTATTTATAGAATACTATTATTCAAACCTTCAACATTTCTTGAACAACTTCTTCACATTTTTTTCAATGAGTTCATTTGCTACTTTGTCCCAGCAAAGAACTTGCATAATTTCAGTGTCGTCAACAATGAACATGTGCAATTTTACCTTTAATTATGTAAAAAAATTAATAAAAAATTTATACCATAATAATTTTGAAAAAAAAAAGATTTACTCAGATAACTATGAATACCGAATATTTGCAAATGGTACTTCCTCTTTGCAATGGAAGCACCAAAAATTTGCCCCCTTCGATTCGACCTTCCTAACACAGGTCGGGCATGAATTGAAATACCACCTTAGATAAACGTCAAGGATCGTCCCATAGATCCAAGACATATTCGGCTGAAAAAAATATTAGAACAAATATTAACATATGCAGAAGTGCTAATGTGTATTTAAAAAGTTAAAAGTCCGAAGATAATTGCCTCATTCAAAGCTTAAAATTCTTCAATAGTTTCAATTGGGGCCGAACCCGATTGCAAGTCATTGCATACACTCGACATGAAAGACCTAACATATTGGCTAGATAATTCATTTGAGCGTTTGTGGGACTTGTACCTAAGTAAACAAAAAGAAATACGTACATGTATACTAAACAATCTGTTTTTAACAAATTTTTGAACAATTATCTCTCTTTGAACTCAATTATTTCCGGTACATCAAATTTAACAATCATTTTGGTTGCATCGTAAGCATTCGAAATTCTCACAGTAATATTAATTTATAGATGTTAAAAAAAGAAGATATTAAAACGTATTTAAACTAATTTAAGAAATGTATACCATCATGCATTGATTTCGCCCAGCACATTTGAAGTATTATAACTTTGTCGTCGGCTGCAGTGGAATGCTTCATTGCCTCAAGTAAAACATCCACATAGTCCTCCCATAAGGTGCAAAGCAATTGGCATCCGCTACAATAATAAAAATAAAAAAAATTACAAAGATTTTATTAATATTTATGTAATAAAGATTAATATTAATATTCGGTCGTTTACACTTACCGAACATCTTCGAGAAGAATGTCAATAAATCTCTTTTCTATCCCTCTCGACATTGCTTTTTGAACGCTTTGAAAGAACACGACTCGACCAATGACATCTAGAATTCAACATAAACGTACCATTAAAAATAGATTAGTGTAAGAAAAGTCAATAAAAAATTATAAAGTATAAAAATGTTACCAATTAGCCTTGAGGAGTCGATGCAAGCTGAATCTGCCAGATCACCGAACTCCTTGAAATTATACATGAACCTTGGGTAGTCTTCATCAAATACCTCCTTAATTTCAGTTTCGTCATTGAACAAAAGCTGCTCACTTTTTGGGGTTGTTTTGAACTTGTTGTTATCGGTTTCAACTATGAAATGCTTTATTCCATATGTTTTCCCTTCACTATTGATCAACGGTCCGAAATTTTCAACCAAGATGTCGGGTGCTGAAGCATGGATGCGCTCGCCCTGAAAAATAAAATTAAAAATCATGTATTGGTGTATAAAAAAAAATAAGTAAAAAAAAAACAGAATATGTATCAAATAATTAATACGTAAAAAACACGATTTCTACCTTGACATCATGAAACACAAATTCCAAACTTGACTCTCTTTTTTTGGGATAAAACCTAACCAATCTCAAAATTGTTGTTTTGTTTTTGTTTTTGGCAAGGTAAGTGAGATTATCAAAGTAGGAAGACATTTTTTAAGATGAATTTTCTGTGACTAAAATTTGAAATGAGGAAGATAGAATACTATTGTTGCCAACAATTTTCGTAGCAACAAATGTTTTCCAAAAGGATGAGAAAAATCCCTCGAAATGAATCTTTTTGGATATGTATATGTGTAGATAAATGCGTGTTATCAATGTACACCGGACTCGAAGAGCCGGGTTTAATAATTTCTTTTCGGTCGAATCTTTTTCGAGTCTTCAAAAAAAGATCCCTTTCTTACTTTACAGATTCCTATTTATAGGAGTGTACTATCTGTCACTGTTCATGTGTGTGTACTACACTACGTGTAGTACAAAATCTTTTCCAAATCTAGTAATTATTCTGTTCAATTAATGCTAAATGATGGCGCCGCATCTCAAAGGCAATCTGGGGGGTGGGGAAGTGACGCGTGTCCCCAGGTCGGCCGATAGTTGCTGGTCTTGTCAAACATTAATGCATCCTTCCCCATTCCCGCCGAACCGACCAGTCAGTCCGGCCCTGTTCTGGCTCAGCGGCTTTATGCTCGGGGATCATCCCCATTTTCCTCCAAAGGTGGCTTCGGGGGTGCTGCGACCCGTCCCTCGGGATTCGCGAGTTCGGGGGTCAACATACAGGCCCCCAAGTTTGATCGTCCTTAGTGGCTATGCTATCTAGCTCGCCTCGTCGAATCTTGATACTTTAGCCAATTTAGGTCGCTCAAAATTGCACAAAGGAGTAGCGCCGGACTCGCCCCGACATAATCATTGCCCTTCGATCATGTTCCTTATTTTGGTGCCGTATCGTATTTATAACAACTAACAAAAAGTCGTGCGGGCCCGGTAGGTCACGCCTCCCCAGAGGCCGTGAGGATCACGCTCCCAGATAGCGTGTGATTTCGTATCTGACACGCTAGGGGTGTGTCTTTTCACCTAGGTTGTGGCCGTTTGAGCTTGCCACGCGTCTTACTGTCATTGGCGCACCCCAACGGTCACTACGTTTTATCCTCCCGTCTACCTGCTTATATATGTAACCCAGCATCCCCTTGTGACAAGGTTCCTACTGCTGGACCATCTCTCAATATTCTCGATGCTTCGGACGCGCGATTCCGTGAAGGTAGTAATTTTCAACTCGTCTCTTAGTGCAATAAGCCTTTTCTTGTTCGTTCTTCTCCTTTTTCTCCCTTTTCTTCGACTCCGGTGGCTATGTCGTCGGACACTGAATCGGTCGACCTAGAGCAGGTGAATGAAATTCTGGCGGGGGACACGATGGGGCGTGTCAGGACCCCACTTCTGCAAGAAAGCCCGCAGGCCGACGCAGACATCGCGTGGGCCGTCGATCAACCAGATGGCAGTTGGCGTCGTCCTCCCCGTAGATGGCCGCTGCCTACGCTTTTCGGAATTGGGGCGATCTCGAGCTCGGCGACAGACAGGGATATCGTGGCGAACAGGGCTGCGTGGCGCATGCCAGATGACATTAAGTTGTTCGCGCCTTATCGGAAGGAGCGGATACACTGCCCCCCGTCGGACTGTGTTGCGGTTTGGAAAAAGTCCTTACAATTTGGGTTGTGATTCCCATTACCGCGGATCTTGACGGAGTACCTTTTGGACTGGGGTTTGGGTTTATCGCAAATTTCGCCCCTCGCGTAGATCAAGATCATTGCGTTGCTCGTGCTATTTCATAAAAAAGAGTGGCCCTTCCCTTCTTGCGAAAAGATCCGCGGGCTGTCCCTCTTTAAGAGGACTCGGAAGAAGGCGGGCATATTCTCTGTATCCTTTCGTGTATCTGAATTTGTGACTTTGATAGCCAAGGTTCCAGATTCTCTCCACGATTTTAAGGAAGATTGGTTCTGGGTCGGCGGGAACTGGCAGACCCCGGCGTCGGAGACTGATGTTCCTTCGACTGAGCGCATTCATGTTCCCCTCAAATTTGTTGGAGAATTTCGTAAGTTCACTTTTTCTCATATTTCCTACACCTTCTAACCCGCTTTTCTCGTTGTCTGTCCGG